CATCAGCATTAGGTTGGGCAGGCGCTGCTGGAGCGGCCTTCTGTTTCGGAGCTTTTGGAGCCGCTTTCTCTTTGGCATTGGCCTTGGCCTTGCCCTTAGGTGCCATGGCGACTGACACCTGGTCTCCACTTCTCAGCGGACGTAGCTGAGAGCAAAAAGTTGCGAGCGAAATGCAAAGTTAAGGTGTTAACCACTGTCAGCGGTTTCCAACCAAAAATGCACATCTAAATCCACTCTCCAGTGAGTTTCTAGCTGCTTTAAACTCCTGGTGCGCAAACATGCAAGGGAAGACAGAGGCCCTGGAAGACAGAGGCCGGCATGTTGCCTCAGGCTGGGCGGTTGTCGGAGCAACTGTCACGCATTCACTTGGTTCTTGGCCAGACTCCCTTTTCATCCCAACAGTGGCAAGTTTTGCCACGGCTCAGACTCCACAAAAGCCTTTGCTGGCAGTGGCAACTTTCGCTAGAAAATCCACAAAACCGTCTTTGTGGAACACGTTCACCATTTGAAGAGCACGAGCCTCCCCCACAGAAGCCAAAGCTAAAGCCTTGTACTTTTGTTTGCTACTCTCCTTCAAATGATCCCCTGTGAAACTGTGGTCCTTGAGCGCAAAGTCATCCCAGGAAGTCAACACTTTCCATTTGCTGCGCTCATGGGCTCGAGCCCTGCGCGCCGCAGAAGCCAATGATGGATGGTCATGGGCAAAGCCATCACTGATGAAAACCCACCGCACAGACTGGATGGCTGGAGCAAAGTGGAAGGCCACGCCCCGGCGACCATTTGCCTGGAGGCAAGCGACATCACAAACGTGCCCTCCGAACAGTAAAGCGCACCATGTAAGAAGGTCACCTGGGTTGGCCGGGTCGTGAACTACCCAGCTAGATGCCAAGCAAGGATCTGCCACTGCTTCCAAGCCATTGACGTTGGGCAAGTTAGCCCAAGCGCCGTCAGCGACAAAAAAGGGCCGCGATTGCAAAGCAAATGGCTTCGCCTTCAAGAGATCTTGTCGCCGCAGCTCATCAGCTGCACGTGTTTGGTCCTTCTGGCCCCTCATTTCCTTGAAGCACAGGGCCACATCTATCAGTTCTTGGTCAATCTCACTCTCTAGTAAAATTCCTTCGAGGTAGCCTTGAATTTTTGCTTTGTAGCCTTGTGATTTCTGCCACTCTTGCTCAGCGGCCATGTCTTCTGTCCAAAGTGCTTGGCAGCCAGCCATTGCGTTTGCCTGCGCTTGCTCAAGCGTTACCGGCTGAGCTGCTTCTCGAGTCATTGCTCGCCTGTTGGCCAAGAAGGCTTTCTCAGTGTGCTCCTGGCAAGTTTTTGTCTAACAACGTATACCCAATCAATGTCAACACCCAAGCCTCAGCTAACATCTGAACACATGTGACGACAAGACAAGTCCTGCTTCCCGCGAGGAATTCCACGATCCAACCTGTCGCAGCAGGACGCGCGGACTGAGCCCAAACTTTGGCGCCATATCTCTCTGGCTTTCTCACAGAGCACGGCGTCACGAGCAGAATCCCGAAGGATCAAATGTTTCTCGTCGAGCTCAGTTTGCTCACTCATCAGCCTCCGCTCCTTGGGAATGGCCCGGTCTAGTAACGAAAATTTTGTTCCACACCGCTTGTGGACAAACCGTTCCAGGAACCGTAGTAGGCCAACACTTCCTGGAGGACGTCGCTTTCCAATCGACTTCTTCGTGCCTTCACTCGCGCCACTGCCGCGCGCCAAGCTTCGAAATTTGACTTTGCGCCGGTGGATTTTTCATGCAAGGCAAGCGGCTTTAAGTCCGCCAGCTGAGACCGAAGCCTCTCTGCATCCACGCTGCAGGCCAGCGACAGACGAAGCAAACCTTTGCGCTCGATCTCTGGATCGATAGGCCCGCCGAGGTTAAACACTGTGAATGCATTGAGCAAATCATGGGCGGGAAATTCCGCTTTCACAGTTTCCAGCGTCAGAGCCAGAAACGCTTGCAAGCGTTCCACACATCCACACAGCAAGTTTTCATCGATCTTTCCAGGCCCGCCAATGGTCCGAGGCTTGCCACGGACCAAGAATCCAAAGGGCTGCTCCAAAATCTCAAGAACATAGGCAGTAAAGCCCTGCTGCAAGATGGCACCCTGTGTCACAGAGAACACGAAAACTAGAGCATTCTATTGTTCGCCCATTCATGGCTTTGAGTCATTGGTTGTTGATGATACTTAGTCGGGGGTAATTAAAGTGCACAATCTGGCGAGTGGCCTCGTTGATGAGGCAGTTTAGATGGCGCACGTAGGCTTCAATAGCTTTGGGGAAATCAGTGAGGTCAGCGTCTTCAGTGTCCACAACACGAAGGAGGCTTATGGCTTCATCACCGATGTCAGCAAGCATCGCTATCAAAACAAGCTCCCTCTCTGAAAGGGCAGCCAAAGTGTCAGTGGCTTCGCAGGCTTCCTCTCTGCCAGCTCGGGCGGTTGCTATCCAAAGCAACGTGGCCAGGATGGCGTCAATGTGTAGGATGAACCTCCCGAGTGGCTGCGAGCATGATGAAAATCTGTGCTTCGCGGCAGCCAAGTTTTTCTTTCTAAGGCTTCGCACTGGGCATTTGTCGGACGCCTGCAGGTAGCTGTTGAACACGCTCACCAAGGCTGGACTATGTTGGATCTTCTGACAAATGCTTTGGCTCCCCAAAATGTATTGCTGCAAAAGGGTGTAGATTTGCTCATCACAGTCCCATGGCCTTTTCAAAAGCCTTTGCACAGCGTGGCTCCTGTCCTTCTGGATGGAAACCATGTGTGGGAAGACCTGGATCTGTCAGAAAAATTGAAACAAATTTCCACCAGACTGCAAGGGAAGTGAAGACTTGGCGTAATGGCACAAGAAGAAAACTTCACAAAACCAATCAAGCGGCTTCAGCGCAAGCTCGCAAAGCTCCTTGTTCATTGTAGGCTGCGTCAGCCACACAAATAGTCACGCGCTTCTGTAGCAACTCACGCAATACAAGGTCAGGAGGTCCCTCATGCGGCCCGCCAAGGCCTGGCGTGCACAAACGGTCCAGGACTCGGAGCATGCCTTTCTTGAGGTTGGTGATAGTCTCTCCATGTTTCACTTGCATCGACCCCACATATCCTTTGAGCACAGTTAGATTTCTTTGCGAAGCAGAAAATCTCATGTGCAATATGCTATGACGCCCATCTTGCGCAATAGCAATGCTGACAGAATCTCTCAGGAAGTCCCGTGTCATTTGACGATCAGCTTCAGCAAGTGCCCATTGTAATTGGGTCCGCTTCCAGCGACCGCACTCTTCCCCAAGACCTTTTGACAAAGCTTGACCAACTGAGTCTAAAGCCTTCTGAAAAACTGCCACATCTGGCGCTTCAGCGTTGCTGTTGTGCCTGTTGTCCAGGCCCAATTGGGACAAAGCATACTGATGTGTTCCAGATTCACCATGCCGTTTAAGGTTTCCGAGAAATCCTGTTGAGATCGTTCCTTTTGCAAACTCATTTGCTAAGCCTTGCTTTCGACAAACCCAACAGCATAGACCCAAAGCTGCAGTTTTCTCGTCGCGGTGAAGAACCAGCCAGGTGCCAACTGCAGAACCATGTCGTTCCAGAAACGTTTCCTGTTCCCACTTCTCGGAAGATCGGGCGTAGGCGCAGATTGTGCAACGCCTGGGATCCGGACACTCCAGCACATGCTGGATCAAAGAATCTTTGCCGGCTTCATGACTTGGACTGCCTTGGCCACTGGTCTCTGCGAAGGCCCGTTTTCTAGTAGCCTGCTTCATGTAACATCTTCTGTTCTCTTGCGCTGTCGTGGCCTCGAAGCCCACCTTGTCAACTGGGCGGCCCCGGAAGCCAGGCAGCATGGTCTAGGATAAAAATGCCTTCAAAAGAACTTGACATTCGCAGCGCTTGTCTGTTTCATGTTCCTTATATTGGGATATTGAAGTGCAGCTGCAGGAGATTGATTTAAACTTATGACTTGAACTTAGCTTGAACCAGGACCACTTAACAGCGGCAATGCGCTGCTCGAATCAGGACCACTTAACAGCGGCAATGTGCTGTGCATCTTTGCACTTCCCAGCGCCACAAAAGATGCAAAAAACGAGGCAACGCTTCCGCTTTCAAACAGCCACACGCGCAGCCTGAACTGACTCAAGAAAGCTGAGTCTCACGCGGGAGCGTGGTCGACGAGGGCGTGGCCTTGGGAAAGAGGAAATGAGCGTTTGGTCAACAACTGCACATGACATGAGGAATGGCACTCTCACAGCGCCCAAAATCTCTATAAGCGACAGTATTTTTTTCTTCACCTGCAGCCAGGGCCAGTTTCAAGGCAGATCATCTAGGAAGGCCAGCTTGTCCTGGCAGGGGCGCTGGCAGCGTTCAAGTCAAATGGTTTCCACTCTTTTACGCAACTGTTGGCGGAACTCAACCGGTGCCTGTTTCTTTTTCTTGAGCTTCTTCTGCTTGGGCGCCTCCTTGTCGTCGTTGTCCTGGGGTGGTGCTTGGCCGCCAAAAAGCGATTGACTCCAGTGGTTTTGGGTGTTTGGCCAGGCCTGAGGGGCCTGAGCGGCCTGCGTCACAGCGCTGCCTTTTCCAGGTCCAGTCGCAGACTCCTAACAAATCACCAAAACTAGCGCTGACTTAAGACAGGCTCAACTCAGAATTCAATTCTGTGCGTTGAGAGGACTTTGATCCAGCCTTGCGTTTCTCCTTTTTCGCAGATTTATCTTTCTTCTTCTTGTCGTTGTCATTGTCCTTGCCAGCGGCGCCTGATGGGTTGGCAATGGTCTCCACCATAGCCTGCCGGGAATGTCAATCCACCCAGAAATAAAACATTTCATTAATTGTGTTCGCTGCTACGTTTTCATCAGAAAATCTGGCCTGCTGGAATCTTTCCTGCAGAGCATCAAATTGCTTGACCTTTTCCTCAATGATGGAGTTCTTCGCGCGCAAAGTCTCCTCGAGGGCGCCCTTCTCATTTTGCAACTCCCAAAGCTCCTTGCTCTTCTTGTCAATCTCCCCCTTTTGCCCCTCCAAGATCGTTTTGAAGGAGGCGCGCTCTTTGTCCAATTTTGCCTGGACGTTGGCAAGCTCTTTCTCCAACGACTCCTTCTGCTCCATGGCCTCTGAGTTCTCTCGGACCACCTCTTTCAAGTCTTTTATCTTGCCCAGAAGCCGTGTGATGACCTCCTCTTTCTTTAAAAGCAATCCCTTCCAATGGTGGTTCAGCTTATCCTCCAATTGGGCCATCATCTCCACGTTCTTCTCGTCCTTTGCCGCAAGCTGCCGCTGCGTTGTATCCAGCAGGGAATTGCTATATCGCGAATAGTAATTCGCTGAGGCCTGGGCTTCTTGAAGTTGACCTTCCAGTTGTGTCACTGTGGCCTGGGCTTTTTGAAGTTGACCTTCCTGTTGTTTCACTGTGGCCTGGGCTTCTTGAAGTTCCCTTTCCAGTCGTGCCATCTTGCCCTCTCGTCGTAGTTGGGCTGCATCATGGCGGTGGCCTCCACCGGATTTGCTGGACTGGCCCCACCAGTGCCAGTCCGCCCAGTTGTCATCGTTCCACGACTGGTCGTCCTGGGCAGGTTCCCAGGAGCTCATGGCGGCGGTGCAGCTGCGAAGGCTGAACCTGACTTGAGCCTCCGCCTTCCTGTCAAAGGGAAGAAAGCACTCTTTCTCTGTCACTGGCACTTCTCAGCGCGTTCAAAAACAACATCAAACCTGACTCAAAGTCTAAGTCTACTGTGTCACACATTGCTGGCACTTCTCAGCGCCATCTCAGTTCAAAAACAACATCAAAAACCAGAAAGTCTAAGTCTACTGAGGTCTGCGCCGGTCAGGGCCAAAGAGTTGGTTGATGTTGTCTTCGTGGGTGTCGCAAAAGCAGGCCTGAGTTCCAAGGCAGGATTCCATGCAACTCCAATGAAAAATGCACTGCACTCTTCCAGCGCAGAACCACAGCGCCTAACATTTTCATTCCAGGTTCCCTTATTTTCCTTCAGATAAATCCAATGCCTCCGCATTTCCAGCCAACACCCCATGGCTTCTGATGCTGAAGGCTGGCTAACTCTTTACAAATTGACCCCCATTGGGCTATCAGCAAAACCCTGCTGCTCTGGTGGCAGGAGGTGGGCGAAAGACTTTCTCACCACAGGGCTCTTCTTGGGGAGGTCGGCGTTCCCTCCCGCCTTCTCGCCCCGCGCAGGCTTCTGCTTAGGCTTGGAGGAGGAAGCTATCGCTGCCTTTTCAGGCGATCTTTTTGTTTTTTTCCCCCTTGCCTTGGGAGAAGCTAACTTCTGTGTCCCAGTTCTTGGCTGCTTCGCCTTCTCTGGTTTCTTTTTGGTTTTTCCAGCGCTGCCCATGGCTAAGCTTGCAAACCGTTCTTCGAACTGCTCCTTCATATCGTCCATCGCTTTCTGCAGCTGGTGCAAGCACTGCTCCACATCGAGAATCATGCGGAACATCTCGCGGTGGGCGGTGCTCTCAAAGTCCATCATGGCTTCAGCTAGGCTAGCAGGAGTGATACTGCAAACTGCTGCAGCGGGCAACAATTCAAAGCCACTCTCGTCAGCGGTACTCATCTATCAAACTGAAGAAGGTTTGCTTTAAATCTGACCTCCACCTTCAAATGATAGAGCCTGGCACTATAATTGACAAAACCTAAAGCTTTCCCACTTTTAACAGCGGGCTATTGAAATTTGAAAGCCAGGGCCCCAACATCCATGAGGGCTATTCTTGCAAAGATTCGCCTGAGCAAGCCACAGCGCATTAAATGTGGCTTGACCCGGCATCTTTTGCATGAGTCGTCATTTGAGACTCAGGCATTGACGCGTGGTCTTGCTAGGCAGGGCCATATGCAACGCCATGCCCCACCCAGTTTGCAGGTAGAATTTGCATTTGATGACATTTTATGACCTTTTTTTTCCCTGCATTACATCTTCTTAACTTTGTTGGAGGATTTTGTAACTTGAGTCTGCTGGAGCGTTCATGTGGCTAGTTGCTTCATGGCACTCTTGCAGCGCCAACTATATTTGGTCTTAAACAGCTGTGGTCTGCAGCACATTTTTCAATGCCAACCTGGCTTGGACATTGACAAACTTGGGTTCATTGGTGTTGAAATTATCATGTGAAAAACACTGACCACTCCAATCCTTCAAAATTTTAAGCGGCGCTATCTCAGTATTCATATTATTATTATGAACTTTTTCTAATTTAAAATACAGGACAGCACTCCAATCCTTCAATCCCGCTTAACAGCTAGTAAGCAAAAGGGCAGATGCCACATGGGGGCTAATGGGGTGTAGTTTTATAAGGGAAACCACCCACATCCCCCCTGGCCCAACGATTCCATTTCCCTTCTTCCAGGGGGTCGAACTGGAAACACGTGTTAAACCCCTTTTTTCCAGAGTCCAAGACATGAAGACAGAACTCCGGATGCTGCTGAAAACGAAGCCTTTCAAGCGATCATGCAGCTGAAGAATTGAGGACCAGCCCCCTTCCAACTCAGCGGGCTGATACAATCTACACCGAACCCTTAGCATTTACTTTTGCAGTCTTTGCAGCGAACACCGCAGGCCATGACCACGATTGAGTTCTGTGAGAAGCCACTTGGAGCGCACTGACACTGCCAAGCAGTGTGGTGGAGTGCTTGTGGTACTTTGGGACATTGCCATGATAGATCTGTTCCCCCCTCCAAGGGTCCTTGAGCGATGTTTGTTTGGCACCTGACTATTGTCATCCCTCCCATTTGCCTCTTCTCCAGGAAGAAACGCAACAAATATGCAGTGAAAGAATTGGCTTGTCGAGTTGGTTCAATGATTCCTTTGAGAGAAAGCATTGCCAAGGCCCAAATCCCGGCACTTTCTGGTAGTTCCTGACTTCGTGTCCTTGTAAGAACTCCACTCCCACTCTTTTACCTGTTTGTCCAGTGGTGGGAGCCTTTCGTGAGCCAAGAATGGAGAAAGTGGCAACCTTTGTCTCATGAGCAATACATGGGCATTTGTTCCTCAAGGAGCTCATCATCCGAATACTCCTCGGATGCACCATGAATAGCAGCCATGCTCAATTCACAGTCAATGTTGGCAGCTTTTACCCTCTACCTGCATGCAAGACTATGCCACATCTACTCAACATGTGCGTCTTTCTCATGACAAAACGTCTTCCAACCAGTTTCACTCGCCTTGAGGTCACATAGCAAAGGCAGCTTCAACGCCTCCGCCTACGATCGCGGTTTCGTTCG